CTAGGGTATATAGAGAAACCGTACATAGAGAAGTAGTTTGAGATAAGACACCGATGGTCGGAAGTGCGTCGTTTCCAAAATACAGTGTGGAAATTTAAACAACCTCCTTTCATATCATCTGAAGGGCTGATGCTAGGCTGTTCAAATTTCCAGTGATAATTGATGTAGGAATGATATTTAAAAATTAGTATAATGCACTCCCATTTTCTACCTGGAACCATCCCAAAAAAAAATTAAAAAAAAGCAATTTGTTTCAAATTTCAACACCCTGTATTTTGGAAACGATGTACTTCGGACCATCGATGTCCTATCTCGAATTACTTCTCCATGGTTCCTCTATATACCCTAGCATTTTTGATTAGTTGAACGGGGACACCCTGTATAATAGTAAAAACTGAAACCAACTTATCGAGTGATATATTATAACTGATGCTGAATTGGGTATGACGGATTATGTTATATTTCGAAGAGATCGATCTTTGGAAACCAGTAGTAGACAATCAATAAGTGACTACGTTTATTTCACACGGTTTATCCAGATACTAAGTGGATTGGATTAATAATGGAGATTAATAATCCTGAAATAAACACCCAGGATTAGACAGTTTATCCGGATCGGATACTTAATTCGATCCTCCACATTTGTAGGATTGGACTTGAAATGGATTATCTCAAATGTGAAATAAACACTGCAAATCTCGGATTTAAGAAGTTTGTTGCTAACTTCAAGAAAAAATGACCTAAACCTAATAAAAAGTGTATCAGCTGATTGCCTTTAATGAAGTTAGACACAAAGCCATTTGGGCTTGCGCTTTTGACAAGGCTTAAGAAAGGATTAGCACTAATCTTAATCCATTTGATACTCGTGAAATAAATGAATATGGATTAATAATCCTTAATCCACTTAATATCCGGATAGAACGCATGAAATAAACGTAGTCAGTGTTGTCCTTATTGCTATTCATAAATCTATTTCCTGTTAACTCTTACCAACTACGGTCCCTGAAGAGCAGGTATATGTGGCAATGGGATTCGCCAGGGTGTACAGACATTTCTTTATAAAGAGCAAGGCAATTCCATCCGCCCCACATGACAACTTATTAGGTGAATTTTTTACTTGTTCTATAATCTAAGCACAAGAAACAGAGTATCCAGAAACATCAGTGACGTTGGAAAATGAGTATTCCGGAGCCCGATTAATGGTACGGCTCGAGTAAACACTAGAAAAGAAGTCTACAGTCTCTTGATTACTACAGACAGTAAAGCCATTATATTTCATGTTACAGGGAAGGTCAAAGTTATTTCTAAGACTGTTGGAATGATCTAGGATTTCCATTAATGTAATTTTCAGTTTAGCACAGCTAAATTCTATAAGAGGAGTTCCTCAAATCTTCGGGGTAAACCGCGAGTCAGTCTTTGTATACCAGATTGCGGTTTTAGGGGAAATTATCGATGATTTTCCCTGATTTCTTCCGATTACCAGTAAGATTGTGCTTGTGCATAAGTAGCCCTGATAACATAACCTCCAAACACTAGATTGAAGTTTACCCCTTTGGTTTCAATGTTCAATTTTTGATTATTCTCGGCTCTTAATTTGAATCAAATGCATAAAATATTTATTATTTACTCAATGAGATAAATTCCATGCAGCAACTTAATTCGCCATTTTGTTCTTGATGGGTAATTCATTTATGTCAATGAGAAGCTACAAAATGGCATTAGAATTGATTTGGTTTAATATCCAATTTTTAATAATTCCTAGTTTTTGTTTAGGATCATGCTCCTGGAATAATCACAGAAAATCGCCATTTCCATTCTCAATCTTCATTCAATACATTTAGGTATGTCAATGACTAATGAGAAGCTACAAAATGGCATGAGAATTGATTCGATTAGGTCAGTTTTTATAGAGCAGATTGCGGTTTTAGGGATAATCATCCGATAATTACCCCTCGTTCAAATCCTTGCACCTATCCCTGACTCCAGAGAATAACAAATAGTTCAAATTATCTCCCGTTCCTCTAAATTTTTTGTGAAGCTTCTTTTTTTTGTATAATGATATGTCAAAGATAGGGGAAGTCAGAGATGTTATGTCACTTATGTGTCAGAGAATAAAGGTTGTATAAAATGCTCCCAGAGTTTTATTTGAAAGTTACTTTAAAACCTCAATAAATGAACTAAAGTAATACTTACCTAAAGTATCTGATGTAACACTTTTCAATCGTGAAACGCAGCTCAGTGTTGAACTACATAAGAAAGTTAGAAGTTCTGAATTTCTTTACTGGAACAGCTGAATCTCATAGATATAGCTGCGTGGTGAACACTACTCAAAATCATATCACTGGCTCTGTCAATCTGAACAGTGCCCAAATTTGAAAACACCAAAACCGAATTTTCGCGACGGACTACTTCCACAGTACTTCCATGATTTCATGAACGCAAAAGCTTTCGTGAGAAACTCATGACGTCATACTGAACGTAGTTCGCCAGAAACATGGACGCAGCTTCTAGCCAGCGTTCAAACTCATGACGTCACAAGACGAACTATGGTTCGTCCTTAGATGAACTATTCAAGTCGAGCAGAGCGAGTGTTTACTAGACGAAAATTGTAAGAATGTAGACACTTTATTAAATCATTAGCCGGTGATTTCCCGCACACTCGCTGGTTGGATCAAACTCATTGTTAACCCATTTAACTTGTGACAAATTAAAATCGCCCACTAGTAATAAGTTATACTTAGGATATAAATTAAAAATTGATTCCATTGATGGGCACACATCAACAAATAAGCTTACATCAGGCTTAGGTGGTAGGTAGATACGGCCCAATACAAATCCAGATGACTTCTAAAACATACATAAACCTGTTGTAATATCAATATTTAGTTTTCGGCATTGCAATTCCTTTCTGACAGCAATCAGAACTCCTCCATCTCGAGTTCTGGGATTTATTTAATTATTTATTTATTGACGGAAAATGCTATATCCATTTACACTGTATAAACTAGCAAATATATACCCACTGACTGAAAAAATAAAAAAACACAAACAACATCCACTATCAAGCTAAATAGAGTAAAATGGATGATATCATTACAATTACCAATACACCAACAACATAAATACCAATACCTAAGCACTAAAAACCTTATAGGCGAGCTAATTGAAACAAAAACAGTTTATGAGTGCAGAAGTCAAGATCAGCAAATCTGTTAGCAAGAGCAGTTGAGCGAGGAATGAAAGAGTGTGCTGCATAATTAGTGCGATGAAATGACACATTGAAAATATAGCAGCTTCGAGTCATTCTAGTAGGAGCATAAAGGCAGGCAATCTGACAGAGAGTTGAGAATCTTAAAAGTTTGTCAAGATCCCTGTTTCGACTTCTTATGGACAATGGTAAAAAGTTCAGTCTACGACACAGAGACTCATAATAAGTAGAAATCGTCGTTATTGAAAAATTTGAAATTTATGTAATGCAGAAACTTACGCTGCACAGGTTCAAGTTGTGTATGTTATTCGCATAAAAACGGTTCCAAACTGAAGAGGCATGCTCCAATCTTGCTCAAACAAGACTGCAATAGAGAATCTCTCTATGTATGAAACAGCCGGGTCAAGAGTAACACCCATCAATGATGATCGCAACAGATGATAGAATTTCCCCATTAATTAAGTAATTAAAGTTAATTTGATGACGCAACCTAGAAAATTTCATCATCTTGCACTTGGACACATTGAGCTCCATTCCATTGTTGCGACACCATTATGTAAATCTATTGAGATCATCATTCATCCTGCAGTAACTGGTAATCCTTAGATGTAACAACCTTCTGAACAGCATCAAATCATCCACAAATAGAAGAAATGTAGAGGATAAAAAACAATTGGAAATATCATTTAGGAATAGATTGAAAAGAAGCGGACCTACATGTGATCCCTGAGGAGCGCCTGATGATACAGAAACTTCACGGGATAGGAAATTATTTGCTTTCACCAATTGGGTACGATCAAGTAAGTAGGTCTTGATCTACTCCAGTGGACCTGATATACTCAGTGTTCTGAGCTTTGTTCAACAAAAGCGTGTGGGGAACCCTATCGAAGGCCTTGGTGAAGTCTGTGTAAACAGAATGAACCTCTGAGCCGTTTTCCAAAGCTTCAACCTAGAAATAGGTTTTTCAAATATGTTTGGAAAAGGTTTGGAATCACATTCAAAATGCTGATAAACTCTGTCTAACCAAAGTTGAACGTTGAAGGTCACTTACTCATCCTTGTAACCATAGGATTTACATGTTCAGACCTATTTTGGTTTGATAAACACAGTGCGCGTGCAATAAAGACAGCAGCAAAAAGAAACGTCTGTGATATATTTGAGTAAGTGACCTTCCACGTTCAACTTTGGTTAGACAGAGTTTAGGTCTATAATTGCGGACATCGGATTCATCACCAGTCTTGTTAATAGGAACCACTAGGCTAACTAGTCTTCCAATATCCAGGAAAGTGGCCTTGTTTCAATGGTTCATTTAAAAATAATCTGCAGAGGTCTAGAAAGAACAAATGAACAGTTTTTTAGGAAAAGAGGATGGATGCTGTTAAAATCTCACTCACGCATTTCTGTCTGTGGACAGAGTAAACAGAACCAAAATAATCGGCAAAAATGTTAGTTGTCTCAGGGTCCATTTCAGCATAAGCATCTTCGAACCTAATGACACTAGGCAGTTCATTTGTCTTGCGCTTAGAGTTTATAAAATTCCAAAAGTGTTAGGTATCATTCTGAAGCGAGGATTCAATACTCTGGATATAATTTCTATAGCACTCTCTAGAGTATATGCCAGATTGTGACCGCAGGCCTGAAAAAAGCTAGTGATCTGTCAGTCCTCTTTTTTAACCATTCATTGTCGACAGGTTGTTACATGGTTTAGTGGAAGTTTTCATTTATCAATTATTAGTTTTTAATGTTTAATAAAGCAATTTTTACATAATTTCACCGCTTTTTATTGTTTCAGGTTCATTTGGGTTAACACTCGATTGGGTAATGGAAGACATACCGTCCCAGGGTAAGTAAATTATTCTAACTTTAGTCTAGTACAAGAAAATCCTTCAGAACTAGGTGGTCAGTAGAAATTATAATAGTTAATTTTTTTTCTTCCTACTCTCAATTATTAACTTTGATTATGTATAAAAGAATTAAGAATCTAGTTCGACACCTAGCCTAGCTAATTAAATTTCTCTTTTCATCTAAGGTTTTTTTTTGGTGTGCAATTTAGTTGATCGCAGCTTAACCTGTTTTCATCTCCATGATTATCGTTCGTTTTATTTCCTTCATTGAAAGTCCAGTCATTTGTGTTCCTTTCATCAATTCTAATTGTCAGAAAGTAAAACCATTGGAATGCGGTGATTTGCTTAAGTTTTCTATTTATTTACAGCCCTAAATTGATATCAGATTTGTTATAAACTAGGTATTTATTGTATGTAGTACAAGTTTCAAGCTCATTTTACTACACCTATTTCTTGAAACTGTTGCACCTCTTTTCCACTTTACCATTTTCACATTTGCTCTTGAACCCAATGATATCATCATCTTTTGTCATCTGTTATACTTATTTAGTCTTACTTCTACATGTATATCAAAATCCTAAAAATCACACAAAATAAATGGTTTTGCTAACGTTAAAATTAATACCGTAAAAGTTCAATTCAAAAAAGAAGTGAAAGTTATAATAAACTTGGCCTGCAGGTGATTTAGGTGCATAAATTGAAAGTAAGCCGATTCAGGAAAGAGGAACACATCACGCTAATAACCAGTTGAGATTCAATAATACCTTATTACAATAATAATAATGTTAATCAGCTAAGCTCATGAAATGTGGCGTAATTGCTTCTACTTATAATTTATTACCTGCATTGCATTTTGTAATTTATATTAAAATACACAAAGAAATTTTAATTGTTAAAGAAACTAGTAAATTGCTTTGTTGTAACAATCTGTTGGTACCTCCATACTTGAGGGTCAAACTTTCTATTGGGATTGAACAATAATTAAAATCACATTAGTTAACTAATATTATCAAGTTGAATATTATATTGATAGTAGCTTCAGTTATTATTCTAATCTAAAACTACCCTTTTGAAATTTATAAGTGAAAACATCCTAGGACTTTAATACCTGGGCAGTTAAAATTTCATTAGACAATTATTAAATTGAATAGTTATAAGTAGTGATAATAAACGAGTTAATTTTTCTATTCCAGATGCATAGTTTTAATTGTCATCATACAGAATCGGGTAGTAGTCAAGATGAAGGCGATTTATTTGCGGCAGTGGCCACTCTGGTGACCGAAGGACGAATTCCAGGACCGTCGAAGGGTGGAGATTCGAAATCGAAAGATTTTCACGAAGGCCCCCACTGCAACTTTTTGACTGCGAACGATCGGACTCATATTTGCGATTCTAATAACCGTTTGGTAAGTTTAACTTGGAAATTGTGTAATGATGTTTTAATGGCATAATTGTTTTAGTGTGCAAGATTCAAGAAAAACCGAGACACTATTCTGAGGCAATTCAAAAAACGTGTTCCAGTTTGTATTGAAGTCCTGTTCACTTGTGTATGTAAGGAATTTGGTAACGTTGAAACGGACGATTTGGACAACGCTGTGCTACTTGAACAGTGGTTTTTTTGTACAGGCTCTAACAAGTATGTATTAATTATTTTTATATATAAACCGTTATCAGATCCAATTTGTTTTTTTTTTTTGCAGAACAAATTCGACTCCACTTTTGAACATCAACCAATTAATCAATGCAGTACGTTCCCAGTTATACTTTTCCCAAATAACCGCCTGGCTAGTAACTCAAGACAAATCATCTCTGATAGCATTCGAAAATATACGATTCAGATTATCAACGTCAGACGAATTATTAGCCCCAGTAACTTTTACATTGACCGCCACGAAACATGAATTTCCTTTATCAGATCTTGGCAAAGGGACAACATTGAATATCTCCTTCTTAAGCGCCGCCCGTACATCATCCAGACCGACTTTGAATTGCCTCAATTGTTTAAACAAGAAATTTGGAAAATTAGATCCGAAAATGGAGATTTTGGTTGACGATAGAATGCATACTTCATGTACTGTAAAAGGCAAACACTGTTGCGAAGATACAGAAGAGGAAACTGTAAAAATTTGCCAAAAAGACAATAAGCACCCACAACAACGGTTATCCAGTAGACGTAACAAAAAAACCAAATCCAACCATCATAATAATTTCGAATCCACTACCACAACCATGGCGATGCAAACAGAAGAAAATCATACCACTACAGCCAATAATTGGCGTAACTTTAATGATCTCAAAACTCCGCCTGTTGTGCAGCAGCAACAAGACAAAGGCAGGATATTGCTGGACGCAATAGAACGTTGCAGCGTTCAGAAGCAGCAGAATGAGTGTCGTGATAATTTTTGTGATATGAGCGAAAGTGATAAATCGTTTATTAGTCGTAGGGAAAATAATACTAATTTTATTAATAGCCATTGTGATAGATTCAAAAAATTGCAAGACGTATCAAATATATCCAAAGCTGCGGGGGCGCGAAGGAAACTGACGTTCGATTCTGAAGACAATGAATCTTCGACAAGTACAAATAATAATAATAATAATGCCATCATCAGAGACATCCCTATTGTCCAAGATCAAGGGAAGATTAGGAGAAATTTGGGAAATACCACCTCTACCGTGTTCCATGCCAGAACTGGTTTGCCATTGAGTAGCAGCCCAGCGCCTATTAGGAAGGGAAAGAACGGATTCGATTTTGATTCATCTTTGGATACTGTTTCAGCCATCAAGAGGTAATAATTTTACACATTTATTATTATGTTAAGTAAACCTTTTTTTGATTGGTGAATTTTGAGTTGGTTTGTTCGATCAATAAATCCTGAAAGTTTGAAGTCCCTCTGATAACTTGAAGTATTTTTCAGAAGCTTCCAAAGATGATTTAATAGAAATTTCACATGATTTTTTGCATCTAAGTGAGAAAGAGAATCATACAGGTTTCCTTGGGGCAGGTAAATTATTTTGAGTTTGTAAATTTTTACTTTCCACTCATCAATTTCTGTCTTTATGAAATTCGAAATTCAAATTGGAGTACCAGATATCCTGGAACTATGGTTAATTTTTAATGAATGGGTACTACAAACAAATCCACCAAATTTTAATTTCTCAAACCTTTTACAGAGAGAGCAAATATTTTCATTAGCGTCATTGGTATACACATATACCCAAGGGGTAAACCACCATCCCAGAATTGGTGCAAACAATTTCTCAAAGGGGAATTTTTTACGCATAATTCCTCCAAATACACCACAAATTCCTCTAGAAAATGGGAAAATTTTGAAACTTTTTGTGTGTAAAGAGGAAGGTGAGAAGCTCATTTTGCCAAAATTTCAAATTTTTCCAGTGGAAAACAGCACGATGAAAAATCTTAAAAATCAACCTACAAAAACTGAATTAGTTGAAAATACAGTCTCACACATTTCAAAGTTTTCCTGGAAAACTAGTGAAGAGAGAAATTTGAAACTTTTTGCATGTAAAGAGGAAGGTGAGAAGTTCATTTTCCCAAAATTTCAAATTTTTCCAGTGGAAAATAAGAACATGAAAAATGTTGGAAATCAACCTACATAAACTGAATTAGTTGAGAATACAGTCTCACAAATTTCAAAGTTTTCCTGGAAGACTAGTGAAGGGAAAATTTTGAAACTTTTTGCATGTAAAGAGGAAGATGAGGAGCTCATTTACCCAAAATTTCAAATTTGTCAAGTAGAAAATTACAACATGAAGAATCTTGGAAATCAACCTACAATAATTGAATTAATTGAAAATACAGTCTCACTTACTTCAAAGTTCTCCTGAAAAAAGTGAAAGGGAAAATTTAAATCTTTTTGCATGTAAAGAAGAAGCTGAGAAGCTCATTTTCTCAAAATTTCAAATTTTTCAAGTAGAAAATTACAACATGAGGAATCTTGGAAATCAACCTACAATAACTGAATTAATTGAAAATACAGTCTCACATATTTCAAAGTTTTCCTGGAAAGCTAGTAAAGGGAAAATTTTGAAACTTTTTGCATGCAAAGAAGAAGGTACGAAGCTTATTTTCCCAAAATTTCAAATTTTTCCAATGGAAAACAGCAACATGAAAAATCTTGGAAATCAACCTACAATAACTGAATTAATTGAAAATACAGTCTCACACATTTCAAAGATTTCCTGGAAAACAAGTGAAGGGAAAATTTTGAAACTTTTTGCATGTAAACAGGAAGGTGAGAAGCTCATTTTCCCAGAATTTCAAATTTTTCCAGTAGAAAATCACAACATGAGGAATATTGAAAATCAACCTACAATAACTGAATCAATTGAAAATACAGTCTCACATATTTCAAAGTTTTCCTGGAAAACTAGTGAATGGAAAATTTTGAAACTTTTTGCATGTAAAGAGGAAGGTGAGAAGCTCAAGTTTCAAATTTTTCCAGTGAAAAATAACAACATGAAAAATCTTGGAAATCAACCTACAAAAACTGAATTAGTTGAAAATACAGTCTCACACATTTCAAAGTTTCCCTGGAAAACTAGTAAAGGGAAAATTTTGAAACTTCTTGCATGTAAAGAAGAAGGTAAGAATCTCATTTTTCCAAAATTTCATATTTTTCCAGTGGAAAACAGCAACATGAAAAATCTAAGAAATCAACCTAACTGAATTAATTGAAAACTCAGTCTCACGCATTTCAAAAATTTCCTGGAAACTAGTGAAGGGAAAATTTTGAAACTCTTTGCATGTAAAGAGGAAGGTGAGAAGCTCATTTTCCCAGAATTTCAAATTTTTCCAGTAGAAAATAACAACATGAAAAATCTTGAAAATCAACCAATAACTGAATTAATTGAAAATACAGTCTCACATATTTCAAAGTTTTCCCGGAAAACTAGTAAAGGGAAAATTTTGAAACTTTTTGCATGTAAAGAAAGAGGTAAGAAACTCATTTTCCCAAAATTTCAAATTTTTCCAGTAAAAAACATGGAAAATCTTGGAAATCAACCTGCAAAAACAGAATAAGTTGAAAATACAGTCTCACATATTTCAAAGTTTTCCAATAAAAAACAGCAACATGAAAAATCTTGGAAATCAACCTACAAAAACTGAATTGGTTGAAAATACAGTCTCACACATTTCAAAGTTTTCCTAGAAAACTAGAGAAAGGAAAATTCTGAAACTTTTTGCATGTAAAGAGGAAGGTGATAAGCTCATTTTCCCAGAATTTCAAATTTTTTCAGTAGAAAATTACATGAGGAATTTTGAAAATCAACCTACAATAACTGAATTAATTGAAAATACAGTCTCACATATTTCAAAGTTTTCCTGGAATGGAAAATTTTGAAACTTTTTGCATGTAAAGAAGAAGGTAAGAAGCTCATTTCCCCAAAACTTCAAATTTTTCCAGTGAAAAATACCAACATGAAAAATCTTGGAAATCAACCTACAAAAACTGAATTAGTTGAAAATACAGTCTCACACATTTTAAAGTTTTCCTGGAAAACTAGTAAAGGGAAAATTTTGAAACTTTTTGCATGTAAAGAAGAAGGTTAGAAGCTCATTTTCTCATAATTTCAAATTTTTCCAGTGGAAAACGGCAACATGAAAAATCTTGGAAATCAACCTACAATAACTGAGTTAATTAAAAATACAGTCTCACACATTTCAAAGTTTTCCTGGAAAACCAGTGAAGGGAAAATTTTGAAACTTTTTGCATGTAGAGAGGAAGGTGAGAAGCTCATTTTCCCAAAATTTCAAATTTTTTCAGTGGAAAATAACAACATGAAATCAGCCTACAAAAACTGTATTCATTATTCTTTTGAATTTTTTAAATTTGACAATTTCTTTTAAATTCGACATAAATTCCTCCAAATTCGGATGAGTTCTTTCAAATTCCTCACAAATTCCTCTAAATTTCCCACAAATTCCTCTAAATTCCCCACATTTTTGGCAAAGAATTCCTAGGCGGTTTGCTCCTTGCATATACCAAGATATCTCAAAAACTCTTGAAGACACTTTTTAAAAAAACACTAATTTATTTTAAAATACAGGTTACAATTATAATGGACATTCACTTAACTAACTTAATAATGACGTCCTAACTAAAGAGACAGGGTCTTTTATATTTTAAAACATGTTGATCTTGCTGTTTCTGTGGATGCGTTGTGACGATGGAGCATTTCTTAGCGGTTACCCTTGAAATATGTTCGTGGATGGTAGGAGAGTAAACGATATCATCCTGTAAACTAAGCATCTTTCATTTTGAATCCCGAGGAGAATATTGTCCATGACTCTTTGGAATGTGGACGGGGCTTTGTTCAATCCAAATGGCATACGTACGAATTCGTAATGGTCATTTTCTACGGAAAAAGCGGTTTTCGAAATATCCTTGGGGTCTACTTCTATTTGGTGAAAACCTGAGGCGGGTCAAGGGTGGTGAAATATTGACATTTTCCCAATTGATCCAGCCTTGAAATTTGCAAAAATATAAAAAATCTCTTCTACAATAGAATTTTCGTGTGTGAGTTTTATTTCCTTATTCAATACCAAGGACATTCAAATGCTTCCAGTCTCATTTTTTCATCCATTTGTCCCAGTTTTGGTTAATTTGTTTTACTGTCGGAACATGTTAGTTACAAATAACATTTTTAGGTTCTTCTTATAAGAAAAATGAATTTATTCTCTTTTTTCAGTGCCCTGTTCTCGAGCAGCTTTTCTGCAGAAGAAGAAAGCGAAAGCGAAGGAAGCATCATCTCGCCTTGCAGCCCCGAGATATATACTGGACCGAAAAAGGACTCAGGTCCAGTTATATATCATCGCAAGGGAAGACCCACAAATTTGTTAGGTTGGTAAATGATTTTCAAGTCTTAGCGAAAACGCGGATACCTGTTAGTTAACAAGGATTGGATGATGTACGTACTGTAAATTTTTCTTTTTCAACCTCATTTAATTTATTAACAATATTAATTATTAGTCGCATTTCAGCCACTTCTATGTTACCGGTCTTGTTTTATTTTAATGGCAATGCTCGGAGGTCCAAAATTATACAGGAGGATGTCTCAGTATTTTGACAGACTTAAATTCAAATATAGAACATTGAAGTTGAAACTATTATAACTTTAAAATGTTGAGACAACCTGCATAAAGAAAAATTGTAGTTGCCTTAATTTGCAAATATACCTTAATCTACACTATATAAATATTAGTTTCTCTTAGGTACGTTTGAGGAATCTGTATTGAACGGAAGACTGGAACCAGTATCGACAGTTCATGGTTTCAGAGCTGAACTTGGTGCAAGCGGCTCGTTTGTTCCAAAACACATTTTCGTCCCGATTACGGCGTTTTTCTATGCGTTCGGCGATCATGACAGAGTATCAACCCCATATTTGGTTAGTATTACACTTTGGCTTTAAAATCTGATAAAATGTGCATTTTGTTTTCAGTGTCATATAAGTCTGAGTAAAAAAGGCTTCAACATTCCCAAAGCCGGAACGCTCCAAGTCACCTTGTTCAATCCTTTGGGTACGGTTGTGAAAATGTTTGTTTTACCTTATGACCTCGCCGATATGCCACCGAATTCTCAAACTTTTATCCGTCAACGCACAGTTTTTATGCCGACCGAGTGCCAGAACAAATCTTGCGCTAAATGGCTCAGATTTCTTATACACGTGAGGTAAAGTTGTAGGATACATTCTTGATTTTACTCGCAGAACAATTATTGTACCAATAACTGATCCTTTTTAGATTCATGAGTTCAAAATCTGGTAAAATCTATCTACACAGCGACATCAGAATGATAATAATGCGAAAATCGGATATGGACACTGCGACAGCTCACGACATAGAACGAAACTACGAGTTGCGCAGTTTCACTCAGATGCCAACAAATCCACGATTTTCTCCAAGAAAGTAACTAGAAATTACTTTGCGTAAGTGCGGCCGTGTCAGCTTACGTGAAGAACGTTCTAGAACATCGAAAAATCGTCGGAAATTAGAACAGAATACGCATCATTCGTCCACGAATTTTTACGGTTACATTTGCCGGTTGTTTTTTAGTTGTTTTATGGAGAAATACGCGACTGTTCACTTGTAGCGGGCGCGACGTTTGGGATCGGAATTATTATAATTTATTTTAAATTTTTCATAATTTGAATTTGTTTTAGTTGATTGTTTATGAATTGTAAATGATGAAAGGCACAAATAAGAAATAAGTAAGTAGACATACGGCTTGTTCTGTAAAATATTAACGTTATTCTATTTAGAAGATCTTCTTAATTAATCTAATCGCGTAGTAGTTTCGGAATTTTTGCATTGGGGAATCTGTGTTAATATATATTTTTTTTTTCACTTGTATTTACTGCCAGTGTTGTATAGATTGGTTTGATATAAACCTTATTGAAAAACTGTTCAAGATTGGCTATATTACTGTTCTAGAACAATTTTTGAGCGAAGTTTTATCAGAGGTGATATTATTTTGGTATATGTATAGTGTGGGAAAGAACTTTGGTGGATTGACTAAGGAATTTAGGACTTTGGTGAAAAAAATTAACTTGTCTATTAATAACTAAGACCAATATCTGAGGAACTGTGGTTGATATGTTTTTCCCATACCATAAATTTATATTGATTAAAGTGATACAGCTATTATTAAAAAGAATCATTTTTATGTTTTACAATAATTATATTATGTTATCGAATTTGTTATAATAATTATTATTAGGTATAGCGTCTCGGCAGTTTTTGTTCTAGAAATTTCCATTCTGAACAATTTTTTGACCGCGTCTTATACAAAGTCTATTAAGAGATTTTATTATATACACCCACACAAACTAATTTTTTTATTAGATATTCAAAATAAATGTGTGTAAAGCTAAAAATGTAGTATTTTTTTAAAACTTTTCTATGGTGGTGAAACTAGAAATTATTGATTGACAATTATCTGGGATTGCGAAACACAAGAATATTTTGGTCATTATCAAGACAACAACAACAACCTGAGTCACGATAACTTCAGACCTGAAATGAGAGAACCACATTTCAAAGATTGCGAAAAAAGTCAATTTTTTGTATTCCTCATTAAACAAGCATTCAAAGACCAGTCGATGGAAATTATAGGCAAACTGTATAAAAGTTGCATATGACCAAAACTTGAATACACTTTCTCAGTGTGGAATCTCTACTATGTCGAAGTAAAGAAGATACAAAGACGAGTTACAAAAATACCATCAGAACTAGGAGAATAGAATAGGATAGAATAGAATTTTATTTACGGACAAGCCATTTTACAGTAGGTACAATAATTCTAAATCATATCTAGGTAGGAAGGTAGATATGTGTATAAATCCCGCGTGTGGCTAAATTCAGCTGGTGTAAGCACCATGGTGGGATGATAGAAAGAGTAGTGTTGCTAAATTAAACAGAATTCGTTAAGCTTTTGATTTGTCTTCTAAAACCTTCCAGTCCAATATTGGAAAGATCCACATTCAATTTATTTATCACAGCATTTGCCAGTCTTAAAAATCTAGTTATAGGAGAATTCTACCCATAATATAATAATATTGTACATAAAATAGTCTATTGTTTCATGTTCTTATGTATACATTAAAACTGACCAAAGATAAGAGCTGAGATAACTGGATTATATTATTCACCGGTTTGAACAGAATACACAGGTCCTGATATCTTCTTTGGGTTAGAGTTTGCATGTTTAAAAGTTTTAAGATATCATAATTAATAGAGTCATGACTAATATTTAGTTTGCAATATGTTTTAAGAATCTTCGCAGTTGGTACTTATGTTTACCATAAAAGGGGGACCAAACAGGACTTGCATACTCCAGAATTTGGCGAACTATAGCTGAATACGCATTCCTGAGGATGTAAATGCTATTAAAATCTCTCAAATTACGTGTTATAAATCCCAATAATCGCATGGCTTTATTGGATATTCTTTTAATATGTTTAGAAAAATTCAATTCGACATCTAGAAATACACCAAGATCTTTAATAACATTAAACCCTATCAAGTTCAGTTCCATTTATCAAGCAGTTAAAAATAATAGGGCTTTCAGATCTATGGAAAGACATCATTTTGCATTTATTAACGTTTAGTGCCAAATGATTGTCTTCACACCAGCTGAAGAAATTGCTGAGTTCCCCTTGCAAGATCATGGATATTTTTTATAATGACAAAGACTTTCATGTCATCAGCAAAATTGAGAAATTTACAGTGCTTTAAAACATTCTTAATGTTATTCAAGAAAATATTGAAAAGAAGAGGGGACAGATGCCCACCCTGCAAAACACCAGAAGTGATATGTTAATCTCTGATGAGACTGTTTTTTTCTATCTTCACTCTCTGTTTTCTTCCCGAAATATAATCCATGAAACCCCATACTTTCCAGCTTTTTTTCCAGAATTTTATGGTAGACCGTGTCAATCGTCTTGGAGAAGTTGGTATATGTCACGTCCACCTGATAAACCCCTGCAATGCATCAAACAGAGCTTGCTCAAACTCCAACAAGTTAGTGACTGTGGATTTGCCTTTCATGAACCCATGTTGTTCTGGTACAATTATATTCTTGAATAGAACTTATAGAAGTGTTAATTTATCTGTAACTATTGACTCAAAAACAAAGAAATTTTTTAAATCGGCCTGTAATTCTCGATGCTGTAATTGTCACCACTCTTAAAAATTGGGGTTACAAAACTAGTCTTCCAAACCGTTGGAAAAATTCCTGTGGACAATGATCTATTGTAGATTTTACACAGGATGCGACAGAACAAGTATATATGCTTTTTAATATCAGAAACAGGGATACCATCTGTACCTGTCCCTAAGTTATCCTTCAGCTGGGAAATCTTATTATGTATATCCATGACATTAATGGACTAAAAGCCTAAATTAACAGTAACATCACAACACATACTAAAATTGTTTGAATCATCATATACCTTATATACGGAGCTAAAATGATCTTTAAAAAGCTGTACAATTTCCACAGGCAAATATGCTTTCTTACCTTTTAAAGTCATATAACTGGGAAAACCTTTGGAATCTTTTTGAAATCCAATGTAACTCCAAAACCCATAACTCAAAAGCCCTAGCTCACTTGTATCAATGACCTTCCATAGAGAGAGAGATTGGACAAGACTAAGTAACAACTTTAAAGGAGGGAAGACATGGAGGAGGCTTAATCGAAAAATACAAGTACCAATAACTTCTATAATTGCAATATCAGAGAAATCTTTGCACAAAACCAAAAATATCTTTGTCGTAGACACTCCAACAGGCAAACAAAATCAAATCGAATTTTGGGTAATTAAACAATAATTTATTTGTTAAAAATTAAACAAGAAATTGAAACTCGTATGAATACACATTCTAAAAAATAAAGAGGTAGTTATTTTGTATCATTTCTTCCCAGATTTCTTGATGCCTCCACTAACCAAAGGTCCCTTTCCTGAAGCTTTAGCTTTGGCATCTTGCAAAGCTTTTTGTTGCTCTTTCATTTTCTGCTTGTGGGCGAGATCTTCTTCATCCAAGTCTTTCGAATCTTTTTTCGGTGCTTTTAGGGGTTTCTTCTTTCCACCATCTCTGCCAGACATCTGCAAGAAAATTGAATCGGATCACTTTAGCACTACTGCCATGTGGTAAAAATTAAGTTACAATAATTTCAAGGATCAATGGTGGATATGGCTTTTTAAATGAAGATTAGCATAAAATATTCATGCATGAGTATTTTTTGGTTTGCAGAGTCTTGCACAAAGCAGTTCTTATATGGTAATGTTAATGTGGGTATTGAAATAAGTTTACCTCAATTTATGGTTTAGGTACTTCTACTTGTTAAAGGTTGAACAAAATCTTGAGTGCAATGAGTACACGGTAAACAACCAATTAAGAAAATTAGATAAAAAGAAATAATTGGAAAATTGAGATTACTTTATGAACTTAAAACTAACCTCACTCTTGTAAAATCCAAGCAAACGTACCTTGTAAAGCAAATATTCCCAATTTTTCTTCAATATCTATAATAATTTGAGAGTCACAGCAATTTTGTAGCACGGTATCTCCTTCACTTTCTCACAAAAACCATAAAATTGCAATTTTTAAAAATTTAAATACCCTCCTTACAAAATCAACTTCAAACTAAACTAAAATTGAAAAAAAGGCTGGGTGATGTTTATCGATATCGATATTTTGAAGAAAGAGCGCTCCGTGCGAGATTTGAGAGCGTTCTATTGCTCAAGTCGAACACGTGAATCTCGCCCAGAGCAACGCTTCTTTTTAAATCGAACATGTAAATCCGTTTCGGATCGGTTTAGGGAATCCAAACCACGTGACTTTTGCCAACCAGCCGGCAGTTTGAAATGTATGAGTAGAATCCAATAACCCTTTTCACGTGGCTCCGGTTTAACAAACCGCAACATACCGCTCAAATTCGAGTGGTAGGACTGGTAGGTATCCATCACGTTAGAGTGGCTAAATAAACCTTTACATACAGTGGCGACAATAGAGGTTTCGCCGCCATCTTGTTCCCAACCTCTTGTTACTTTTAAATATTAATATATAGGATTTAAATGGACATCTATCATAAAAAATTGAAATCGACGTATTTGATGACCATTATTAGGTCCATCAAATACGTTGTTTTCCATGATTTATGATGAATGTTCAATGTTCACCTAAATCCCATATATTCATATTTAAAAGTAATAAGGGGTTGGGAACAAGATGGCGATGTTTTCAATATAAATATATGGGATTTTAGAACCAATCAAAAATGAGACAGCAATTGTCGCCACTGTGGGTTATAGAGTCACTGTACATCACGTCAGTTTGTAACCGGGTTAGAAAACGGTATGTCATTTCTCTAACCGTTTTGTAACCCGGTTAGTTAAACCGGAGCCACGTGAAAAGAACTTTTGGTAGAATCTAGAATCCGTAGAACACGTTGTAAAATACGAGTTGACATGTCAACGATGTATTGTTTGCCAACAATGCCAACCAGCGCCATTTGGACAGGTCGTTGGATTGCCTTAGGGTGGATTTTCATGCATCCGTTTGTCCGACGAAATATGTCCGTTAAATCTTCTATTTTGACATATTTTTATACGATTCTGTCAGAATAGAATGTTAAACGGACATCTTTCGTCGGACAAACGGATGCATGAAAATGCACCCTTATTAGTTGTATTATTTATCTCTGGTTGTATTCCTTTCAAGAGTTTGAAACACTAGAGCTACTCGCTCCGGTGTCAGGTCCTTGAGCACTCAGGTGCAACCAATGAACTAGAGCTAAAAACTCCTAGGTGTGAAAGGAAAGGAGTACAACTAATGGCTCGGTTCGGCATTGCACTCCACGAAGCAGAACTGTATGAGCATGGATATCGTATCTTACGTGGTCATAAGCCCAACGCAAAAAAAAAGAACACTCTGAGAGAAGACGGACAGGATCTTATCGTTTCGAGCGCGCTCAGTGTTTACAGACTGTAAAGCCTAGTCCAGACCTACATACATTTGCCCACCAACATTTAAACATTTGTATAAAAACTGTTTAAAAACTGTATAAAAGCTGTTTAAAATATGTTTGCAAACATTTGTTTAAAAACATTTAGGGCGGGTATTATAAAACTACTTTGAGAGTTAACTTAAAGTTAACTTCTGAAAATACATGTAATTCAAAAAGTTAACTTCAAGTTAACTGTCAAAGCAGTTTTATAATACCCGCCCTTAAACGAATCTTTAAAGTTTTTTGTTCCCCGTCAGGATGGGAAACTTTGTTTTTATACTCGCTTTTAGGTGCGTACGATAAGTCCAACTATTGACACTTTTTACCCTGACCCGTCATTAATGTCGCACTTTTTACACCATTCGTACCGTTCGTTCCATTTTCCCGGTGCAGTTTAGATGGTTTGCGTTCCAAAACATAACCGTTTCAGACAAATCGTAGGCACCATTTGAAGTCTGGACGCAATCTAAACAAATGTTTGTTGTTTTAAGCAATCGTATCAGTGGTGGTGCTATTTGGGCTGAGTTCGACTTTGCACTCCACGGAGGAACGACAAGCAAGGATATCGTGACGTCATACGCGGTCATAAGCCCAACGCAAAAGATAACACTCTGAGAGCTAAAGCGAACAGGATCTTATTACTTTCACAGAGTGTACAGCCGAACTCAGCCTTGAGCCGCTTTCCAGTGACGAATTGTAAGGTCCTCCACGCCCGTAGTTTCACACTCTGGTGTCGTCGTGTTTTTAATGGTCCCATAAAATTGCTGGTACTTGAGAGGGCAGGGGAGACGAAAAACGAACAGTTGTGCGAAACTCTAATGCACTGGAACGCCTATAATAAACAGTTCAGGGCGCTCTAGAGCAGCTCAGGAGTACTTAAAGTGCGTCACTGGAAAGCGACTTTGGTGAGATGTTTTTGCCCTTAGTCTGGACGCAATTGCAATTTCGTTTAAAAAGATGTTCTTTAAAACAAAACACCTACACACGTGTATAAATGTTTTGTTCACGAGCAAATATTTCCAAACAGGCAAATGTTTCCAAACAAGCAAAATTTCCTGAACCAGTTCAACTACAACCTAGGACAATAATTTGTATACGAGTTATCTTTAGTTGTATTCCTTTGAAGAGTTTAAAACCCTCGAGCTACTTGCTTCTGGTGTTAGCCGCCCTCGATTTGAAAGGAATAGATGCGTGGTGCATCAAACACTTTTCGAAAGGAATAAGGGCGTAACGCCCCGGAGCTGTTCCGGAGTTCCTCCTAGGGGTGAAAGGAATGCAAATTTTATGGCGCTACCCAGGGGCGAGTTCAGAAATGACACACCCAGTGTGAGTGTGACACCGGTGCGACGCCCAAGCTGTTCAAAAATGCTAGACGGTGCTATAGGCCCAATGGCCAATTGTCAATTCAGGCACACCCATAAAATCGCACTCGCACCCTGTGCGTTATTTCTGAACTCGGCCCAGTGTTCCAAGAATTATACACTTCTACTACATTAGCCTTTCCTCGTAAGGCCTGTGTAGTTCAAATCTTAAGCCCCCACCATGCCAAAGCACCAGTGATGACGTAGACAGCGTGTCGTGCCTCGCCCTGACGTAGAGTGTTTGCACCGCAAGTTATGATTTCACGGGCTTTTGCCTTATGCATACTTGGTTTTTCTACATTAATTAACATTCTGGAACAACTCCTTTTTAGATCTCGTTTGCATCCTTCTCTCTGCATATTATGTTAATGAGAATTGAATAATATTTTCTATCATATAAATTTAAATTCTAAACTACGACCGCTGGCGCAAACTGCCGACGACCTAGTTAATGACGTCAGCAATGGTGCTACATCATATGACTGCGATTACCAGTAACGAGTCCGATAAGCAATCTTATGTAGTAGTGTGTAATATTATCTTTTGTCTGAAACACTCGGTTGGATGGTGTCAAAGTCTATACGGACTTGGTAAAAACACTTTTCTACGACTATCAGGGAATTCGTCCATTCCGACTTGGTTTTTGATAACGAAATAACCTCATTCCATCACCAGTGAGAGAATAGGCCGCGAGGATATGCATAATCTTATAACATTCAGGATTATGTGATGTTTCATACTCCCCTAACTCCCCCACAATCAAATTCTGGGATACTCGAGGATCAAGAACACTCAATTTCTTCTGTGAGAACAGACCGAAAATCAACCTTTCTACATTTAAAATTGACGAATAAAATAACTCACTAGTTGTTGAGCTTCTGATAGTGATGTCACTCGCAGGCCCAGAATTTGATGGCGTGGGAGTTGGGGGAGAATGACACCAGTGACACTTCACATAACCCAGCATAATCAGATTATGCTTGATTATCCCGCGAAAAATTGCCTATAATTTATTCCAAATCAACGTTAACATATTGGTTTACAGTCGTCTAGTTCAACTGAGTTGGAGTATACTCCCACTTTACTACACATTTCTACTCTACTAGTTCGGGCACTTGTTTCGGAGTAAAATTATTCGAGTTCGCGGGTATTAAGAAAGGAATTTAAACAAAATATTCCGGAAAGTTCGTTTATTTTATTTTAGTTCTTCAATCTCGAACCTAACTCACGGTTGTCTGTCAATCTGAAACTCGATTTTTGCTCGAAAATTCAGAAAGATCTGCTAGGAGAAAGGCCAGGAGCTGCTATTTGCGAGCTTTTAATAGGGGCAAGGGGCAAGTGAACGCCGATCTACTCTTGAGATCTGCTTGAAACAAGAAAAACAGTACAAATGAACACCCTTCATAACTAATGTTCGGGTTGATTCAGATTAGAAGCAAGCAAAATTTCCTGAACCAGTTCAACTACTCCTGCAGTGTTCGACATTTCTTAACACTGCGATTTTCGACGGTGCACGTGCATATGAAAACCGAACCGGAGCAAGCGCAAACTCGCACTGTCCGAAACACAAATCAGTTGACTCCTACTCCTGTCAGTTCTGCGCTTGGGTCATTTGAAAGAAAAAGTGTGGTTAGAACCGGTTAGACCTAAATTTTAACTTGTTTTTATTTGTCATTTTTCAGTTTCCTTTTAATTTACTTGTTGATGTAAATTATAAAAACGAACTCAACAAAAGCAGTATTTGAGATTAACTTAAAATGATGAGTGAACAAGGAATTTTAGAGGAAAGAGCTTACTTTTTATCTGTTATAAATACATTTAAAAACTATAGGTAAGAACTTAGAAATTATACTTTTATTTATACAATCAAGATTTGGATAAAAGATGTTTATCATTCAAAATGTCCATAATTATTTGTACTCTAGTTTGTAGTAGTAAGTACTCAGCAAACAAGTATCAAGTAGGTACAGTATAAAACTGTACTTGAAGTTATAAGTATTTTACTTAGGCCTGGTTTATTTATCTTCAGATAAACTTGCTATTTGCAAAATAAATTTGAAATTACCTTTCCATAATTCTATTGGTCGGCGGTTAACTGGTATCCAATGGGATTACAGATTACGCTTTTATCTGTCAGATTGCATACCTGACAGCTTATCGAAAGGTGAATTAACCGTCCCTTAGAGTTAAAAAAAAAACAGTATAAGTAGCAGTACATATTAGGTATTTTCAGTACTTAGGTATCGAGGTACTTATACTATACAGTATTTAGAATACCTTCCATATGCATTTAAATATGTACTTATGGAGGCATTAAGTACCTACTAAGAGTATTTATATTTAATTACTTAAATAGAGTCGGTTTATTCACCTTCTGATAAACTGTCAGGCATGCAATCTGACGGATAAAAACGTAATTTGTAATCCCATCATTCCCATTGGTCAGCCAGTTATCCTCCAACCAATAGAATTATAGAAAGGTTAATTTATCTTGCAAATAGTTACCAGCAAGTTTATCTGAAGATGAATAAACCAGGCCTTAGTCGCATTTTTGTCAGGTGATACATAACTGCATACAGAACTTAGTGGTGAAGTGCAATTTAATCTGTATTTAGACCTGTATAGCAAATAGCAACATATTATCTAAATCTTGTAAGAAAACAATGCCTCGATTCCAAAAATATATAGTTTGTCTTTATTTGGTTGAGCAGTCTCTTATACAATGTGTCCAAGATAAGGAGGGCAAGTATGGGTATCTGATGATATGGTGGCTCAAAGATGAAACGTCGGATTACAAATTTGATAATGCCATATTGTAGAGGAGGAGTGGCAATGACGAAGTGCCCTTCATTTTGAAATATGTATCTCTTCAAATAAGGTCAGGAAAAATAAAAGGGAGTGAACCCTACGCCTACCGGTAGGTCCTTTGTTATCCAACCGTCGTACGCCTACCAGTAGGTCCTTTTTCATCCACCGATTGTGCGCCTACTGGTAGGTAGGTCCTTTTTCGTAAATTGATCATGCGCCTACTGGAGGTGTTTTATTACTTTAGAATCTGTATACCCTACCAGTCAGCTCTTGCTAAATGCATTAATACAGTTTTGTTTGTTTGTAAAATTGTCATTAAAAAATTCGTCCACTGAGTAATAAGCCTTTATTAGTAATAATAATAATAATAATAATAATAATAATAATAATAATAGATCTTTATTTAGCAAAAAACGGCTAATTCACAAAATTTACAGACATGCAAAATATACATACACTATAAAAATTGCAATTCTTATTACTTAGGTACTACACAATAATTGTAAATTGTAAAATTAAAATTAACACTTCTTGTATAAAAAACAAACAAAAATAAATATAAAAAAAAAACAACTCACATACATAAATTCGATCATTACATGATAATTATTGTCTACCTAGTGAGACTCGTCAAATAGTCTTTTCCTAAGGTTATTTTTAAAGGCAATTACAGTACCGCATCTTTTTATTGAATCAGGCAATTTATTATATAATATTAAACCATTATGAAATAGTGCCCTTTCTGTAGCCTTTTTATTTTTTTTGGTTACATGCAAATTATTCTTTTGACCGTGTATTATAATTGTGGACGTTGTTATTGTATACAGGTTTGGAGGACAAATACGATGGAGCTAAAGAATTTTTCATTTTATGTATGAGAATCATAGTTTGGTATTCCAAATACTGTTCCACTGACAGCCAATTTAATAAGTGAAGCATGATGCATTGATATGTCCCTAGGTACACGCAAAATTATTCGCATGGCCTTGTTTTGTAATTTCTGCAATCTGTCTTTTTCATTTTTATTTGCCGTAAACAGGATGGCCTAACATCTTTCTAATTTGGACATTAAACTTGTTGATGTTTGAAATCTGCGTCATTTGAGACGGCAACCTATTGAAAATCCTTCTGCATACACCTTGAAATTATTTTTGAGTCTTCGATTGCTCGCTATGCTGGCCAAACCTCGAAGAGAGGATTCTCGGGAGAGCAAATCCATCAAAAACGTGAAAAACCTTTTTCAAATATATCACCTTGAAATTTAAAATATTTTTGAGCCTCTGGATTGCTCGCTCCGCTCGCCAAACTTAAAAGAGAAAATTCGCGGATGCTTAAATCCACCAAAAACGTGGAAAACCTTTTTCAAATATATCACCTATCGAACGTAAATCCACATATATACACATAATACAAGTAGGCTCAGGATTCTTTTTACAAGCAGTACCTACCGATAGGCGTTATATCATCTGACAATTGACAACCTACCATAACGTTTGAGCGCTATACATACGGTAGGCACACAATCAATGAAACAAATGGGACCTACCGGTAGGCGCAGAGTTCACTCCCAAAATAAAATCGTTTTGGGCGAATTTCGGGTTTTCCCGGATATCTCCAGTATCAATCGGAATTTTTAAAATATCAGAACACTATTTTAATGAGTAAAAAATTGCACAACTTTTTCCCAATTTGACCAACGTCCTATCTCTTACTGTTTCCAAGATCCCCATACTGGCCCTCCTTATAGTCTGGCAAGTGGTAACTTGGTAGAGACGAAAGGGGGAAGGAAACTGGGGTGTTATCAAATGTAATACCACAAGAGGATTACCGGATAATACTTTTACCTGTCACGAAACGCGTTACGCAGCAACACCACGACTCCGAAGGAGGAGTGGTGTTGGCTGATAACGCGTTGAGTGTCAGGTAAAAGTATTAGGTAATCCTGAAACATCGAGTGGTATTCAAAAGGTTATACAACGAACTAAACTTCAATACCTTATTAATTTTCATTATTATTAATAGCAAATGAACAATATTGCCACCAAGCGCGATAATCCCAAAAGGCTTATCACTTATTAAGCCTCTCGTGTCATATGAGGATAATGTACAGTGAGTTGTATAACCTAAAAAATTCACTGACACCTCAACTGACACCGTCTGATGACAGCCATGTCTTTGAGTTCAGTGGCACCGAAAACACCAAGGAAATAAACCAATAAAATTATTAGAGAAAAGATTCTCTAGTTTCGCCAATAAGCACGCCACTGCGTGCTGTCGTTCAGGCTCTAACCAATAGAATCATGTTTCTGAATAATCCCGCCTCTCCACTTCCATCATTTCGCAATGTTGCCTAGTTTTTTCTATTTCAAAATACTACACATGCCCATATAGCAAAAAAAAAATATGTCACCAACTTGTTTATTATTTTGTTTCTAATTTCCATCAAGTTTGGCAAAGCAGCAAATTTTTTTGCAGTTCGCCGTTTCGCTAGCCAGACTATATCTTGGACACATTGTATATTCGGCTCGAAAAATTGTAAAACCATTCTACCTAAACAGGTGAAAATTGCAGGTAAAATTTGAGGTACTTGGTTTCTCTGTTAGTATTTTTGAAACTTTTAGAGCAAAATATGTTGGAGACGGCTCAACCAAATATAGACAAACTATATATTCTTGGAATTGGGAAATTTTGCTCTTCAAGAATATAGAACCAAATATAGGGCATCTCATTTGAAAAAAGCTGAAAGCATGCAACATTTCACATTTCTCACTCCATTTTTGTTTCTGACCTGGATTCTAAAAATTTAGCCAAAATTGTACAACTTTTGTATTCACACTTTTTTTCTACCTGTAAAGGTAAAGACTGTAGATGGGGTGTCAATATACAGGGTGTCCCACGAGGTTTTTTCCACATGATAACTTCGGAACGCATCATCGTATGTTCCACTGTATAATTGTTCATCATTTTCTTTAACAAAGTCTTAGCAAATACGGCCAATTTTGTAAATCAATTTTCTAACAAAAAATGCCATAATATACCATGAGTAACATTTAAGATTCGAAAGTTGATGTCACTTGACTGAAATGTGATGAAATTGGATGACAATGGTACAAGCAGTACAAAAAGTTACCCAGATCCTCAAAATTTCAATTATATTGGATGACGCGTTCCGAAGTTATTACCTGCGAAAAACGTCGTGAGACACCCAGTATAAAAAACACCCTGTACATACTTTAAGTAAAATACCCACTGAATAATAAGTATGTACCCACTTTTACTTTAATAAGTTTAATACTGAGTTTAATACTTTAAGTACTTTTGAAAACTACTTTTTAAGCAGATTCAAATTTTCAGTAGGTAGGTAAGCAGATTTAAATTTAAGTTACAGTACAAGTACACTAAATACTTCATTAAAATTGTATTAATTATTTTTTGGTAAGTAAGTACTCTCCTCATGAAAGTACTTTAGTAAAATACTTGAAATATCAAATGTACTAGCTAACTATTTTACTTTAAGCATATTTTTCTAATCAGTACCCAACCTCTCATTACAGACACCAAATACCTATAGTTGTGGGTTTCTCTGGTTTCTCTCTGGAGGAAATCTCATCTAAAGTAGCTTGTAAAAGTAACATTGTGGCTTCTGAGCAACAATGGAATGAAATAGTTATTTACCTAACAAATGCGGAAAGTGATACTTTACCGCACGCAACGGCAAGCCGTTAAGGGCGGTAAAGCCACTTTCCGCATGTGTTAGGTACAAAATTTTACCTATGAGCATCTACATCTCCAAAAAAAGGCATTGATAAAATTAATTAATGAATCAGATTAATTAATGAAATTATATAAGATTAAGAAATGATCAAAAATCCATTTTCTGAAAAAGAGAGGATTTTTGATTATAAATATCAAATTCTACTTTACCGCACACTATGCGGTAAAGTGCACTTTACCGCACACTTTGTATCCTACTTTACCGCATACTATGCTGTAAAGTTAACTTTACCGCACATTATGCGGTAAAGTGCACTTTACCGCATAGTGTGCGGTAAAGTGATTCTTTCCATTTGCAAATACGTGCGGTAAAGTGCACTTTACCGCACGCTCGTAGGTAAAGGTATTTTTCAGACAAATTTGAGAAATTCAACCTGGCAAATGACCACACAAAAGATTAATTATTAATTAACAACTAAGCAAAATTGTCTCAATTACCTCTCAACATTATTAGGTACCCAAAATTATTTTCCTGATTTATTTCTAGAAATCTCTCATATAATCGAATTCAACACAAAGAAAAATGCCTAGGATCGTTGTCGGATCATCACAAAAAATGGCTGTCAAACTGCAGCGAAGATTTAAACAAATTAAAAGAGGGAGTGGACAAAAATTACGAATTTATCCCTTTAGTTCTCAAACACGCCTATACAATGTTCGATAATGCTTATTCAAATACTCCAGTTCCAATAACACCCACCGATCAACAAGAAAAAACTTTATCTGAGGGTAAGCAATTTCATTCATTTTATTCACATTAATTATTTAAACTTGTATTATATGTAAATCTTGTATTATTAGGTCTTGAAAAAGTCCAATCTGTTTTCAAACAACTAATGAGAGACTGGAGCTCTTTAGGAGCATCAGAACGCCAACAATGCTACCAACCAATAATCGACGAAGTCCTATTAAATTACCCCGAAGATAGCTTTAAGCGAAGCGAAATTCAGGTTTTGGTACCTGGAGCCGGCCTAGGAAGGTTAGCATTCGAAATTGCTTCAAAAGGATTTAGATGTCAAGGAAATGAATTCAATTTGTTTATGTTGATTGTATCTTTTTACGTGTTGAACCTCTGCCAGGACATTGATCAGTATTTAATTTATCCTTGGATCCATCAGTTTTGTAACAATCATTCTGTGGAAGATCAAATGACTGAGGCAAGGTAGGGATGAATTTGATTGAAATTAATTATCTTGTTTATTTAATTGCAAATTTGGTCCCTTCAAGAGCTAAGTGAAGTAAACTACTTCTTTTAAGTAAGTATTAATAATTTAGTTCAGGAAAATCGTAATTATTACACTAAAATATTATCTACAACCAACAAGATAAATCTTTTGAGCAAACACACCACTCGAAACTTAATTAGGTATACAAAAGCTAATTAGAATATTTTAATTTGTGGAAGTGAATAAGTATTATTTATTAGGACTAATCCACCTGGCAAACAATCTTTTTTTATCTTCTAATATTAACACTGGGTAATCTGCATTGCAAATAAAAACGAGCTATTTAAAAGTATTACACGGTGATTTCCGAAAAACAATCACTTAAATTACAATTAAATTCGCCTTTATTTTCTGACAAGGAAAACAATTAGGAAAGCAAACAAATCAGGTGTCTGCGGTAATGATAAAAATTTTATGGCAAGCGACAACTGTTGCATATCTACATCATTTCACGTTTGATCCTCTCTATATGCCTAATATTTGTGTGTGTTGAATATTATGTGGTAATCCACGTACCGGAGATGCGATTATTAGAACAAAAATCACATAGTGAAAGTGAGAATGTGTCGTTTCGCTTTTAGAGGAAATTAAATTGAATTATGTGTGGTGCAAAATGATTGTGGTTTATTGGATTTTGATGGTTTTGGTACAATATAGTTTGGAGGTAAGAGATTCCGATTTGCGTATATTTTTTTATGGTCAAGTGTGGTTTATATTTGTATGTAATTTTAGAAAAACATATATGTATTATCATTTTAAGTATATGTAACTCTAAAATAAAAGGTTATTTGCGTTGTGATTGTTATACCGTAAGTGCAATTCCAAAATTGAAGGATTATGTTAAATTTATACTTATAAAAGTAACTTCAACTTGGCTTAATTTAAAATCCTTGCGGTAACCAATCATATTTGGGATTGGATTATTAGAATATTTTACTCTTACTAGCTAATAAAACAATATTGACTCATCAGGGAAGGCAAATACTTATACAACTAGTGTTTTAGAGAAATGATGCCATTCTGTAGTGTCATTGAATATAATTATATACACTGCTGGACACTTGATCTTACACATACAGATTTTTAGGCAAAATTCAAAGTTTCATATTTTCGGCAAAAATGAAGCTTTTTTAATGTGGTTTGTGGGGTTCAATAGCCTGTTTCTTCCGGATAAAGCTACTTATTGTAAATTTTTTATAGGACCCCAGAGTTGTGATATACAGGGCGATAAATTAGGTGATGCAAAAAATCGAAATGTTTGTGTTCGTGCTATTTTGGCAAAAAAAAATTGTAGTAATTAAAATATGGTTTATTACCAAGGTAACATCAGTACCTCTAGACGTTTTTGTCACTTTTTGGATTTAAGCCCTTTGACCTTGGATATACCATTAAACGTCAAAATATGGCAACAAAATCTTTAAAATTCCGTAATAGACCATAAATTCACTGCTAAAAAGTACAACGATAGTATAACGTATGCCCTCTGAGGTTCTGGTAGCTATGCATAGGCTCGTCAACCTGCAAGAAAGTTTAGCGGGTGACTGCAGGACTTGCGCTGAAGAAGTTAATTGTTTATTGTTCAAAACAAAAACGAGCTTTAGAAAGATAGTATAACGTATGCCAAGCATACCAATCGATATTTATGAATAAAAATCCATTGGAAAACGATCGGCATACGGTGTACGTGAGACCTGAGGATAGGCCCTATCATTCAAAAATGGAGAATTTTGAGGGCGAACGACGACCCTTAGATCTCACTCACACCGTATGACCGTTGGTATGACGATCGTTTTCCAATGGAGTTTAATTCATAAATATGGATTGGTATGCTCAGTATTCGTTATACTATCATTCCAAAGCTCGTCTTTGCTTTTAACAATAAAGAATTAACGTCCTCAGCGCGAGTTCCGCGGTCACCCCATAATTTTGCTTGCACATTGACGAGCATATGCATAATTGCCAAAACCTCAGAAGGCATTATTATCGTTCACTTTTTGGCAGTGGGCCTCTGGTTTATAGCTCGATATCGGATGCACAAATTTTGACGATTTTTTCAGATTTGGATACCTGATTTTACGTAGATTTTCTAAAGTCTAAGCAAGATGAAAAATATGAATAATTTTTTTTTTTTTATTTATCTACATTTACTGTGACGCGTCTTACAAATCACTCTCTATTCTCGTCCAAATATTAGACTGCCGCCTAAGAAGTTTCATTTCAAAAAGAATATTGAAAACCTGATACCTTGTTGGTCCTCCTGCTCGATGCTTGATTGACATCGATTGGGAAGAGTATCCACAAGATTTCTTATGAAATCTTGTGGAATATTCTCCCACTCTTCGCGTCGGGCCTCAATTAGGTCTTTCAAGGTTTTGGGAGACACATCGCGTGATCTTACCCTTAGTTTTAAATTTGACTAAACATGTTCGATTAAGTTAATGTAGCATACTCTGCATAGCATAGCATCCGACCATCGGAGTGAATTAAAACGAACTGTTCTATCTGATACTCTCACTCCATTGTGTCGCCTCAATGATCTATTCAATTTTCTAGAAGTTCTTTCCTCATCAAAATTCTTTCATTCCTTCGATCAATTTTTGTTGTATGTCCATCCCCATGCGTATAATTATGACTACCTGTCTCTTGAAATCGATATTTTAAATTATAAATTGTCTTTCTGCTGACATTGTAGAAGTGGGCAATTTGTTCATTTGACATTCCTTCGTTGAGGAGTCGAATGCAATTTGCCCGTTCTGCTGCGGTTGAAAGCCTCATAATTAATAGAATTTTTAACCAATTTAAACGTTGAAATTTAACAGATAATAAATAATAATTGTTTATTTCCATATTCCAGTGGGGAAAATGCCCTCTAAAAAAGGTTTTACAAATTACAATATCTATAGAGTACGTTTTTGTTAATACATTTAAATAAGGTGTCCGGGATACAACTGGAATTAATAGATTTTTTCATTATTAATTTTTTTTTTTAAGTCCGTTTTGTGTCCCTTCAAATGCCGCCGGAGCATGTTCCTCCTAGATCCGTCCCTGGTAAAAAATATTTATTATTTTACAGCTAAAAACTTCAGTTTAATTGTGGTATTTCTTCGATTGTTGAGTAATTACTGATTTTAGACATAATGTCGAAATATAGGTTACTTTTTTGCTGATTAGGTTACGTCCACATTCGGTAAACGGAAGAAATTGTTTTGAGATAATGACAACTCCAACTTGACCGATTTTAAAGCAAAACAAATTCAGTATGTCTTTTTGGCACGCGATCATTATCTCTAAACAACTTCGTGTGTCCTACGTAGACTATGACTATAAAAGATCCGCATAAAATGAAGTTTCCAAATTTGAAAAAATCGTCAAAATTTGTGCATCCGATATCGAGTGATGAACCGTAGGCCCACTGTCAAAAAGTGCAACGATAGTATAATGCCTTCTGAAGTTTTGGTAATTATGCATATGCTCATCAATGTGCAAGCAAAAGTATAGGGTGACCGCGGTACTCGCGCTGATGACGTTAATTCTTTATTGTTAAAAACAAAGACGAGCTTTGGAATGATAGTATAACGAATGCCGAGCATACCAATCCATATTTATGAATTAAAATCTATTGCAAAACGATCGTCGAGCGCACCCGAATTCCGGTACGGTTGAAGGGTACCCACAGGTAGGAGTCCTAATTCCGGTACGCTTAAAATATAAAACACAGGTATAATAGTTGTCCGAACTTCGGTACGAATACCTACTATTATTAATTTATTTTTATGGGTATTCACAACTCTAGTGCTGGTACTATTATTATTAATTTCATAACATAAAACAATAAACACCCTATTATTTTTTTATGATATAGGTACTTTATTGGGATCGATGAAAAATACAAATTTATACAGACAAAAAATCTTCATATTCCATTAATGGAAGATGAAAATTTATGTGAAACACATTTTATGAAGCCTAATCTTGTAATTTTATTACTATGGTAATGGTCTATTTTATCCTGAATAAATTTTTGTTTCAAAAGTATTTTTTTTCGCATGGGTCTGGATTGATTTATTTCGGCAGTGTTAATTTTAATATAGGTATCAGATTGCATATTTTTCACAGCTTCTAGAAATACGTGTATGTTTGGGTGTGGACGACCGCAGTAAGAATTGAACCTAGAGTGAAATGATTCACACGTATTGGTTGTACGTCAAAGGGATGCCGTGTCAGCAGCCCATATAGTAGGTGGGAAAATAGATTCTTCGCTAATATAAGTTTCTATCAAATAGTCGGTGAATTTTGTAACCCTTTCACAACGTGGTTGTTCCGCGACTAGGTCGATCGCAAACGCTTCTCCAACTTCTTCGGCTTTCAAAAAAGGAAGTCCAAATAAATGGCGAATCCACCTTCCTATCTCAGAACTAGCATCTTTGTACTCTGTGGCTAGTCCCAGTTGTTGTAGTTTTCTCCACCTTCAACAAAGAAATTGATTTATTCAAAATCGGAGAAAAAAAAATGTAAAGCTTACCATGACTGTGCGAGATGAAATCTACAACCAACAATTTCCACTTCTGGAAAACATTCTCGTAAACTTGAGTGGATGGCCATCTCGAAATCGACTACTACGGTTTTCAAATGTAACACACATTCGTTTTGGATACAAGATTGGCGAAGTAGATCAAAAAGTTTGGAGTATGTCTTTTTTGTCTTGTTTGGCAACAAGCAAAAAGCTACTGGTACATAAATATCGTTCGAATATGCATGGATTGTGAATAGTTGTAAGAAGAAATTGGTGCAAAAATCAAATGTTCCATCCATAAACAAAGTATTTTGTCCACACATAAATTTCATATTTCTCAAACACGAAAATACAACAATGTCGTTTTCAATATCGTTAATCAGCAAAAAATTCTCATCCAAGTTAGTTGAAATCTCAATTGAT